GATGTTAGCAGAGGGCTGATCTCTTCACAAAAAAAGAAAAGAAAAGAAACATAAGTGATAGAGAATTTTAAAATATCTGCTAAGGGACTTCCTTGGTATCAATCTGAAAACTGTTATATTTAGGTACCTCAGGAGTTAGTGGCCCTGCCTGGATGTCCTTATTTGCTTCCTTGCAGTTCCATTGTCTTCTAGAATCTATCACTGGAGTTCCAGTTTCAACTGTCCTCTCAAACAAGTGAAAAGTTTTTCTTTTGAATACCATCTGTGTTTCCTCCTAAGGCATCTTAGTGTGTGCCTTACCTCCTCCAGCTTTAATTCTAGCATTCACTAATTTTGCAAATATTTTTAAAGACTGTGGGAAAGGCACTATATCAGGTGTAAGAAGAAGGTATGAGGGACAAACAAAAGTTTTACATAGTCTCTGCCTTCAAATAGCTGTTAGCCTAGATAACTACAGCTGAAATCCATAAAAAAGAGTCTTGTGCCATAAAAAAGAGTGCAAAGGGGTTCTGGAGAACAAAGAGATGGGAGAAGCCTTCATAGAATTGGTGATATGTTAATTAGGTCTGTATGTTACATCCAGTTATTTAAAATATGTGAATATATCTGTACATATACATTCCTTTCAAAGTTGAAAAAAGTCATTGATTTCAGGGCTGGAATAGACCTTGAGAGATTATCTGATTCCAAATATCATTCTGCATGTTTTATACGCAAGGCAAGCGAGACCCACAGAAAGACATGCTTCTTCATTTAGTACTTTCTTAAGTTTAAAAAATAGTCCTGAGATTGCTTGAAGACCTTAGTGGTATCATGTGCATTATACTGTTCCATCAATTCATTTTTAACTGTGCAGGAAATCCTTCATAGAATTAGATTTGGTCCCCTTGGGTTTTTAATTACCCAAGTTAATGTGAACTTTGATCTAGTCACATGGAGATCCCAGATTCATAGGACTTGGCAGTGTCAAACCAGATTTCTTCTACAGCTTTCTGGCCCATGTCAAACATTTGCTGTAAATGCTTCCACCCAGTTTTTGCAGTAACCATGAGATATTCTTTGTTCTCCGGGTGTAGCTGGCAAGAGTATGCAGCCATGACAAGTGACTGACAAAAACGACTGCATACAAGTAGAAACAAAGCACCCCTCTCTACAGTTGTCAGTGGGATTATACTTTCAAACCCTGCGAGGACATGACCTCCTACTTGTAGAGGATTCTTGCTTTCAATCATCATGTACATGATGGTGATTGCCAATTCAAACACATAATAGCCATAGCTCATGTCGTCAAAGTCTAAAATCCCAGACACTTGATATACATCATCTCTAAAGGCTGACTTGCTGGACTCTATTAAAATGTTATGGTCGTTAAGATCTCCATGATTGATACCTGAAAGGAGAAAAACCAAGCCATGAGAAAACAGTTATTTAAAACTCCAGTTCATTCTCTTTCCATTTCTCTTTCTCAGGCATGGCCATTCAAATAATTTGATGGGCAGTCAGAGATAAAGGGTGAAACCGTATTTTTCTTGAAATAAAATAATTTCCTCTGAAAAGGATAAAAGCACTTAATTTTGGTGGTGGTTTTGTGTTTGTTTCTCATCAACTCAGGGCCCAAAGATGGAGACTGTAGTTATTACAAACACCTGATTTTGGCTACTAGGAGAGTAAGGAGAAAGGAGAACTGCCCAAAACCAGAAATGTTTAAAAAGAATACACATATATTCATATTATTATAAGAAGCAAAGAGTCCTAGAATACACCAGATGCACCTTTACTTTAACCTAGGATTTCTAAAAAAAATTTCTGATGACAAAGTAATTCTGAATTTCCCCAGTCTTTTGATTACTGGAATAGATGGTGATATTTTGAGTCAGTACCACTCAAAGTGGGAGTCCATGGTCAGTGCTGGCCCACAAACTGGTACTCGTCGTCTGCATGAGATAAAAACACAAATTGAGAGTGTTTAGGTAATTTTATAATTTGTCATCGAAGAGTGTGATCAGTGGCCTTGTCTCACTGAATGGAGTATAGACCAGTTTGAGTGTTGTCAAACTCGCATGGTAAGTCGTATGTGGCTCAAGCTGTGAACTAATCATGAACAGTAGAACTATGTAGCAGGCTGCAGTGGGTTGGGGGAAAAAAACCAAATTTGTCTTCTACCATGGATAGTTTGAGGAGCACTGATTTAAACTACTGACTAAGGATTAGGGGATGAGATGTCCATGAGCACTGAAGTAGTGAGCCATATACTTTATAATAAGTATGTGATATAAAGTCCATAATATTAACTTCTAAATATAATGCTGATTTCTTCTCTATGAATTAGGATTGTGTAAATCATGCTTAAGTAATGTAGCACAGTGGGTGGCATATAGAAGCAATAAACATTACTGTAAACCATAGATTCTTTTTTTTTTCTTTTATTCTTTATTTTTATTTTTATTTTTTGTGAGAAAGATCATTCCTGAGCTAACATCCGATGCCGATCCTCCTCTTTTTTTGCTGAGGAAGGTTGGCCCTGAGCTAACATCCATGCCCATCTTCCTCCACTTTATATGGGACACCGCCACAGCATGGCTTTGACAAGTGGTGCGTTGGTGTGCGCCCGGGATCCGAACCTGTGAACCCGGGGCCACCGAAGCAGGGCACGTGCAGTTAACTTCTTGCGCCACCGGCCTGGCCCCTAAACCATAGATTCTAAACTACACGTTTCTGAAATTGGGATGTATCATACAATTGATGTCACGTCATAGTTTCATTGGCAGTGTTTTTTCTTCCTTAGAGGGTCATAAAGTAATGGTGCATCTTGTACAATCAAATGGCATTTTAGAATCAATGAAATAGGTTACATTGTGAATGCAATCTGTATGTATCTACGGGAACCTCTCCTCTCTCATTTCATTGCTTCTCTTCACATGTACAATGGCCAATCAAGAAATGATACATCTGTTTTATGCCTGGAATAAAATGACAAAAGTTGTTGAATTTGAGAATTAAAGAAAAGCAGGAGTTCTGATAAAGATGGCAGAGTGAATTCATTCTTCGATAACTTCACTGTGCTCAATATACATAGCAATGATAAAAATAAAAAGAGAAAACAATCAAGATACAGCCTGCCTCAAAAATAAGATAGATCTATATACTAAAAAACAGAATAGAAATGCCAAGCCGTGAGCAGGAATAAAGCCACAGGACTATCTACTGGGCTCCAGATCAGCAATGTGCTCTACCCGCCTGGGAGAACACGAACTGAAAGTGCTACCTGTCAGTTGGGGAAACAGGCACACTGCATGAAGCTGGGGGCAGTGATAAGGGCTTCCCAACCGTAAAAGGATGACAAAATCTGTTACCAATCCACTGCTTAGAATACTATGGGTTCAAGGAAGCAGAAGGACAAAAATATAGGCTTGAAACCAAATGCCAAACCAGGCTTCTGTGTGAATATATTCTCTGTCTGATCATTCTAGTTACTGAAGTCTTTGGTTCAGTTTGTATACAGTAGTCAGTTTCTTTTGGTTCTTGCTCATAGTCTCTTCTTTCCTTGTATGCTGATATATGGTATGTTTTCTGGCCACAAGGCAGTTACTCTAGAAAAATAAACAAGAACTAAAACCAAAAAATACAATAAATGAAATTTAAAAATAGATGGGTGTCACAGATTAGAAATTGCTAAAGAGAGAATAAACTAGAAGATAGGTTAGAAAATTATCCAAAATGCAGTATGGACAGAGAAAAAGATTTAAAAAAACACACACATGGATAAGAAGAGAAGAGACAGAAAGGACTCATTGAGAAGAACTAATACTAGCTGAATTGGAGTCCAGAAGGAAAAGAGAATGGGGCAGAGGCAAGAATTTTCCATAACCGATGAAAGACAATATTTAAGAAACCCAAGCAGATTAAGGAAAAAATTTAGTTAAGGAAAAGAGGACATCTTAAAAGCAACCCAAAGGGGAAAATACAGATTGTCTTCAAAGGAGCAACAGACTGACAGCCGGCCTCTCAATAGCAATGGAAGCTAGAAGACAGTGGAATTCTAAAATTCTACAACCCTGAAACCTAAAATTCTATAGGCTGTGAAAATATCCTTCAAGAATAAAGACAAAATGAAAACATTTTTAGTCAAATAAAATCAGAGTTCACCAGTAGAAAACTGCATTAAAGGAAATACTAAAGGACGTATTTCAGGCAGAAAAAAATGACTCCAGACAGAAAGTTTGAGGTGCTGGAAGATATGAAACTAATGTATGAGTAAATCTAAACAAACTTGACTATAAAACAAAAATAATAATGTCTTTTGGGATAAAAATACAGAATTAAAGTTTACTAACACAACAGCATATAAGTCAGGAAAGAGATAAATGGAATTAAAGTATTTTAAGATCCTTGTACTTTCTTGCATAACATTCGACTTTGATAAGTTCAAGTCACCTGTCAGAATTTCTAGGGTAATCATTCAAAGAATAAGATAAAATATAATTTCCAAACTTCTGGAGAGGAAAAAAAAAAAAAAAAGAATGACAAAAACTATTGGCTCAAAAGAAGAGGGGAAAGAGAAGAAAAAATTGGGACAGAAAAATAGCAAGTGTACAAAAATAATATGGGATAGCTATATAATGTCAGATGGAATAGACATTAAGGCAAAAAACATTAGAAGGTATAAAGAGGGATACTTTATATTGTTAAAAGATTCAACTTGCCAGTAAGATAACAATTCTAATTTTACGTGTACATTGCCTCAAAATGTATAAAGCAAAATATGACAGAAATACAAGTAAAAATAGACAATCCACAATCATAGTGGGAGATTTAAAATACACTTTTCTTAGAATTGTTAGAACAAACAGGCCAAAAAATAAGTCAATAGTATAGAAAATTTCAACAACATGATTAAAAAACTTGACCTACTGGATATAGATATAATTCTGTATCCAAGAACTGCAGAATAAACTTTTTTTTATAGGCACACATGGACCATTTAAAAAAATTTACCAAATTCTGCATTATAATGTAAATCTTAACAAATTTCAAAAGTACTGAAATTATATAGAGCTGCCCTGTCCCATATGGTACCACTAGCCATATACTGCCATTTAAATTCATTAAGATTAAATAAAATTGAAAATCTAGTTCCTTAATTGCACATTTCAAGTGCTCAGTAGCCACATAGAAGTTATTATATCAGACAACACAGATATAGAAAATTTCCATCATTGAAGAAAATTCTACTGGACAGCACTGATATAAAGTATTTTCTCTGACCATAATACAGTTACAGTAGGAATCAACAATAAAAGGATAACTAAAAATTTTATCATATATATCTTTGTAGATGTATATAAATGGAGAGATAGACTAATGTTCATGGATTAGAATAATCAATAAGTATAACATAATATAAACAAGTATAAATATACTATAATATCCATTTTGTTCAACTTTATATACAGATTCAATCCAAATCTAACCAAAATCTCAACACTAATTTTTTTTTTTTTGGTGAGGGAGATTGGCCATGAGCTAACATCTGTGCCCATCTTCCTCTATTTTGTGTGTGGGATGCAGTCATAGTGTGGCTTGATGAGCAGTGTGTAAGTCCGCACCCAGGATCTGAACCTGTGAACCTGGGCCACTGAAGTGGAGCACGCCAACTTAACCACTACGCCACCGGGCTGACCCCTCAACAATAATTTTTTAAAACATGATATGCTGATTTCAAAATTGACATGGAAATGAAAAGGACTAAAAATAGTCAAGACCCTCTTATAGAAGAACAAGAATGTGGGAGGACATGTTCTACCAGATATGAAGACTTAAAAAGTTAAAGAAATTAAGATACTGTGGTAATCTTTAGGGATGCTCACAGATATGCCAGTTATCTTCCTTCCGGGAGCATGCTGTGTTGTACTTCCCTGCTCCCCAAAAAGTTGTGTGTGGCCATGTGACTTTTTTGGGGCCACTGACATGAACAGAAGTGACGTCACTTCAGGGCAGAAGTCTTAAGAGCCAGTATACAATTTACTACATTCTCTTTCCCTATTCCATAGCAATACTCCAGTTGGTGAACATTCCATCAGTCTCACTCTCAAAGTGAGAATACATAGAACAGAGCCCTAGCCAATCCATCATAGACACACAGCTTGAGTTAGAACTAAACCTTTGTTATTTTAGTTCACAATAATTTGGGGGTTATTTGTTACTGTAGCATAACGTAGCCTAGCTGATACATAGGGTGCATATGGGTGCACAGATGGATAAATAGACCAACAGAATAAGATAGAGAGTCCAGAAACATATTTGATTTACAACAGAGGTGCTACTGCAAAACAAAGGGAGAAAAGATGGCTTTTCATTAAATGTTGGTGGGAAAATTTATCGGCCATAAGAAAAATTCACACCATCTATAAAAATAAATTCCAGGTGGATTGTAGATCTACTATGAAAGGCAAAAACTATAAAACTTTAGGAAGATAATATAGAAGAATATCTTCATGACCACAAGGTAGGGAAAAATTTCTACACAAGGCACAAAACACTAACTATGAAGAAAAGATTCATATATTTGAAACCAATAAATTAAGGATTGTTCACCGAAACATATCATAAAGAGAGTGAAACAACAAGCCACAGAATGGGACAAAATATGTGTAGCACATATAACCAACAAAGGACTTGTGTCCATAAAATATTTCAAACTTCTAAAATCAATGAGAAAAAATCCCAACAGAAAAACAGGCAAAAGACTTGAATAGGCACTTCACAAAAGAGTTTATCCAAATAGCTAACAAATAGGGAAATGTATACTAAAACCACAATGAGAAACCATTATATACATATCAGATTGGCAAAAATTTTTTAATCTGATAATACCAATGGTGCAGAGCAATGAAAACTTTTATACTCTGCTAGTAGTAGTATAAAGTCATACAACCACTTGGGAAAACTGTAAAGTTGAATATAGACATGTCCTATGACCCAGCATTCCTACCCCAGAACTCAAGAACTTATATACTCAAAGAACTCATGAACATGTATACCAAGAGACACAAGAATATTCATAAGAGTGCTTCTTAATAGACCAAAACTGGAAACAACTCAAATATCTTTTAAGAGTAGAATAGCTAGAATGTGGTATATTTATGAATAGGATACTCTATAGTAATACAAGTTAAACTATAGCCACATGCAACAACATGGAGAATCTTACAAAAGTAATATAAAGCAAAAAAAAGGGAAGACACAAGTGAATGTATCCTGTGGGAGACAGACGGGAGCAGTGAGACCTGTTAGGAGGCTACTGCAATAATCCAGATAAGAAATGATAGTAGCTTGGACCAAATGGAAGTAGTAAAGGTGGGGGAAAGTGGTTAAGAAGTAGGGTATGTTGTGAAGTTAGAACTGATAGAATTTGATTGGATGTGAGGTGTGAGAGAAAGAACAAAGTCCAGGCTGATGACTCCTGGGTTTTTGGCTAGATCAACTAGGTGAATGGTGGATACCATTTTAATGAGATGAAGATGACTAGGGGGGAAATAGGTTTGAAGGGGAAAAAAAATCAACTCTTTTTATGCTACCATCTTACATTGTGTTTACACAAAGTAAGTGTTGTGAACTGAATTGTGCCTGCCCCCCCTGCAAAATTCATATGTTTGAGTCCTAACCCCCAATGTGATGGTATTTGGAGATGGGGCCTTTGGGATATAATTAGGTTTAGATGACCTCATCTAATTAGGCAACCTGAGCTGACTAATATAGAAAGCAGGGGGCAGGGCCGGCCCCATGGCTTAGCGGTTAAGTGCGTGCGCTCCGCTACTGGTAGCCCGGGTTCGGATGCGATCCCCAGCGCGCACCGACAGACCGCTTCTCTGGCCATGCTGAGGCCGCGTCCCACATACAGCAACTAGAAGGGTGTGCAACTATAACATACAACTATCTACTGGGGCTTTGAGGGAAAAAATAAATAAATAAATAAAATTAAAAAAAAAAAAAAAGAAAGCAGGGGGCAAAAGGGACACATACTGCCTATCCTAGGCCTTGCTAGAAATGCCCCTCAGTTCCTCCCCTTTGACTAGTACTTCATGCTGGGTCAAAAGGCTGATTATACCCCAGAGAAACTGTTGTCCATGTACATAAGGAGATATGCACCAGTGTGCTCTACAGCATCATTTATACAGCAAAAATATAGGAAGCACCTAAAATTCCGTTAACAGGAGAATGGACCAAAAAAATTACAATATGTTCAAATAAATTATGATATATACATACTATGGAATACTATTCAGCAGTTCAAACTAATGAACTAAATGAACCAGAACTACATATATGAAATGGATTTATCTGAAAAACATAAGTTGAATTAGAGGTTGCAGAGGCCGGCCCTGTGGCGTAGCAGTTAAGTGCGTGCGCTCTGCTGCTGGCAGCCCACGTTCAGATCCCAGGCGCACACCGAGGCACCGCTCGTCAGGCCATGCTGTGACGGCGTCCCACATAAAGTGGAGGAAGATGGGCATGGATGTTAGCTCAGGGCCAGTCTTCCTCAGCAAAAAAAGAGGAGGATTGGCATGGATGTTAGCTCAGGCCTGATCTTCCTCACAAAAAAAAAAAAAGGAGGTTGTAGAATGATAATACACAGTGTGATACCATTTATCTGAAGTTTTAAGATATGCAAGACACTGCTATATATTTAATTTATGAATACATACATATATATTAATGAATTAAAACATGTATGCAAATTTAGTAGAGAGGAGAAAGGTAGAATCACATTAAGTTTAGAGGGGGCTTCACATGTAGCAATTTTAAGGAAAGTAAAAGCATTATTCTTTAAAAAGCAACAGGAACAAATATGGGAAAATTTTAAGATTTGATAAAGCTAAGTTGTGCCTCCACACTTTTCTGATGGTTTGAAATTTGACAATTTAAATATCGAGAAAAATACTTATTTGATTGGGGGAATACTCACATTCTCGAAAATGACTTAATTTGCTCATTATTTCATCTTTGAACAGCTGAATGACCTGTTCGACAATCTCTCGATTTTGATTCTGGCCCAAAGCATACAGATATTTCTCCAGAAGAGGTACATTTTTCAGATTCCAGATGAAGTTCTCCCGATGAAGACTGCTTAACTTTGGGTGATGGAATTTCTAAATCAGAAGCAAGAAACTCTTAGACTCTCGACAGTTAGAGCAACCTCTACTGAGAGATCTGCTGTGTGCTAGAAGACTGTACCCTCCAAAGTGTAGGCCTGGGAGTGCCTTAGGGGGAGAGCTGGCATTCTCTCGTGGCCACTGACTTGCTCTATTGACATTAATCCATGAAATGGTAATAACTTCACATTTGTACAGGATCTCACAATTTCTTTTTTTTTTTTTTTGCTGGGAAAGATTCACCCTGAGCTAACATCTGTTGCCAATCTTCCTCTCTCTCTCTTTTTTTTTTCACCCTCCCCGAAGTCCCAGTACATAGCTGTATATTCTAGTTGTAAGTCCTTCCAGTTCTTCTATGTGAGCTGCCGCCACAGCATGGCTACTGACAGACGAGTGGTGTGGTTCCAAGCCCAGGAACCAAACCCAGGCCACCAAAGCAGAGTGCACCGAACTTTAACCACTAGGCCATGAGGGCTGGCTCAGGATCTCACCATTTTGAGAGCACATTCCCATCTTACTTGATCCTCCTAACTGTGTGAAGATAAGTGTTATTATCCACAGCCTACAAAAGGAATTGGAGGCAGCTCTGAAGAACTCTATTCTCACCCACATGACCTGCCTCAGGCCCCTGTTACCTCTCTGACTTCATCTTCCACTACTTTTGCTCACTCTCCTCCAACAACACTGGCCTTCCGGCTGTTCAAGGAACATGTCAGGCACGTCCTCTCCTCATGGCCTTTGCATATGCTGTTTCCTCCTCCTGGGATGCTCTTCCCCAGATATCCATATGGCTAGTGCCCTCATTTCCACCAGGTCTTTACTCAGAAGTCACCTTCTTGGGGAGGACTCCCTGACCACTCCATCTAAAAGTTCAACCCTCTCTCCAATACTTCATATCCCTCTTCTCTGCTTATTTTTTCTTCTTAAGAACTTAGCACATATTGCTGTCTAATATTCACCATAATTCACTTACAGACCTTACTGTCTATCCGCACAGAATGTAAGCTCCATAAGGGGCAGGAGCTTTGTTTTTGTTCGTTACTGTATCCCCACACCTAGAACAGTGCCTGGCACATAGAAGGCACTGGTCAAGCAATATCTGCTGAATAAATGAATGTTCTTAAAATGGAAAATTCTAGAAGTGGAAGGGCCTTTAGACTTTGAACACTCTATCTAAATTTCTAAATGGCTTTGACCATCATTGCACAAATGGGGAAACAAGTTCAGAGAGGGATGATGAGTTCCACTGTGGGGCTGAGGGGGCACCTGGGTCTGCTGACTCACACTCCAGACCTCTTTCACAGAGTGAGTACTAGAAGGTGCCGTGGGGGTCACCCAGTGGAGTAGCTTTCAAATTTTTTTGACCATGACTTGCAGTAATAAATACATTTTACATCACAACTCAGTATACAGGCAACACGCACGTAAAGAAAAAGTCTTAGTAACAATACTGATACCATTACATGTGATGTAGTCTGGTGTTTTGTATTTTATTCTAGTTCTTTAAAAATGTTCCTCTAAGTTGATTTCAATACCCATGCTCATGACCTGCAGTTTGAAAACCTTCCCCTGATGCTTCTGTTATCACTAGAATGTCCTTGCTAAGTGGTCATGTAGCCTCTGTTTGAATACTTCCCATTGGAGGTACTTTTTACCCTTATTGAGATGGCTATGATCTTCCTTTCGCTGAGCTAAAATCTGCCTCTCCAATTGTGTCCATGCCACTGGTTCCAACTGTGACCTCTGGGGCTATCTGGAACAGGATCCTTCTCATATGACTGTCCTCCAGACATATGAAGACAGCACTCCTGCCCCCTCAGTATTCTCTTCTGCAGAGTAAACCTTTTTAGTTTCTTCAATTATTTCTCACCTGACACGGTTTTGAATCTCCTGACCATCTGGTGTGTTAAATGCCACTGTGGATCACAAAAATACTCTGCATAGTAAGCACTGAAAACACTGTTAGGAGTTGTGACTTTTGAGGTGTGGGATTGGGACTAAGAATGGAGATGATGGTGAGAACAAATGTTCATTTTACACCTTTCAGTACTGTTTCAAATTTTTATCATGTGCATATATTACTTGTACTTTTAAAGAAAGTAAAATTTAACACCCTTGTTGGGTTTCCAGTGGAGCAATTGTCCACTTAGGGAAGGCTGTGAGTCAGCTTCTAAAATGAGGGCACATTGGGCCGGCCCCGTGGCTTAGTGGTTAAGTGCGCGTGCTCCGCTGCTGGCAGCTGGAGTTCGGATCCCGGGCGCGCACTGACGCACTGCTTCTCCGGCCATGCTGAGGCCGCGTCCTACATGCAGCAACTAGAGGGATGTGCAGCTATGACATACAACTATCTACTGGGGCATTGGGGGGAAAATAAATAAATAAATAAAATCTTAAAAAAAAAAAAAAAAAATAAATGAGGGCACTGTTACCCCACACATCCCGCAGGAGAACTTCTCAGCTCTAGTATGGAGTAGTGGGAAAAATACTTGGAATCTGGACTTGGGATCAGACAGATATGGGTTTCAACTGGCTCTATGACTTATCTCAGATCTTAGTTTCCTTAACAGTAAATTCAGAGTATCAATACCAACCTCACAGTCATCTGTGGATAAACCAAGACATGAAATAAGGACCTCAGACGTATAGGTGCTCAACAAATGTTTGTCGAATATGAACACCGCAGCTGTTGTGCCTGACTTCTCTGGCCTTTCTATCCTTTTGGCTCCTTGGCACACCAACCTGAATTCCTGACAGTTTAATCACTACTCTTTATTAGTCTATCTCAGCCTACCTTTTGTCAGCTTCCTCACTCTGCCTCTCACCCCAATTCCCATTTCCCAAGCACCTTGCTTCCTCTAGTACAAAGCTCTGACCACAGTCATACTCATAAGCCTGCCCTGTATTTTCTTCTTTCTTATACTTAAAGGAATCTCCTGAGATTGACCTCCAGCCCATCTGTGGACCAAGCAGCAGCCAAATTCCAGTAGAGATTAGTTGGTCCCTTCACTTGTGAATGCCTTAGTTCTGGCCCCTACCATCCCCAGGGCTCCTGTCTACTCTGGGTCTCCCAGGCTTACCCAGCTGCTGGAAGCTTCAGTGGCCCAGCCACATCCCCAGCAGAGCAGGCACAGCTTCTGCCACACCCATAGGTTTAAAATACTGCACACCTGTGTGATATCTTGTGCAGACGCCCTGGTTCCTAGTGCTTATGGAGAAACTAAGAACCTACCCCATGCAAAGGCATGGGGTAAGGTGAGGTGAGGAGATGGGCAATGGGAATAAAGCATGATAAAAATGCATTGCAATACTAAGGGAGGTAGGCTTTTCTTGGTTCCTTCTAGAATTCCCTTGTCCCCTACAAGACAACCTAAAATAAGTTGCACAGCAGAGCGGCAGGTGGTTAACTACACAGCACAACTCACTGTCAGCAACGATGTGGTGCTATCTCCCTCTGAAAACTGTATTTGCCATTTCAGAATACAGCAGAAGTTGAAAATTTGATGGCAGTAGGCATATTAACGAAGCCCACAGGTAGCATAGAAGCAAAGGTTAATGATAACTCTGTTATGTAACAGATGCTCATTTAAACAGCTCATTTAGTAGATTTGAGTCTGAGGATGGTAGAGAGACTTCACTGAGCGTTCAATTAGTTCCAAAGTTTTTCTAAATAAAATTAATATGTGAAGAAAATTTCCTAAAAGTAAATTTAATTAGAACTGGCTATTTTAATCCAAATTATGTTAATATTCAGAAATTGATATTTTAATGGATGTCCACAAATGGATTTGTTCCAACTTAATTGAAAACTATTTCAACTGAAATGCTTGATACATTTACCAAAGCCTTGCACTGCTCAATAAATATCTGTTGAATAAATAGAGTGCAATGTGAAAGGGTAATTATTGTCAACACAGAAAAAAGTCTGTCAGTTGACAAACATTTACTGAACACCAACTATGCCCCAGGGACTGTGGGATAGTGTGGTCTCAGACTCGTAGAATGAATAGTTTAGGAGTGTCATTTCTGGGTGATGAGATTACTGGTAACTTTTAATTTTTTTTTGTATTTTTATCTGATTTTCTTTAATGAGTCACTGAAAGGGTTTTTAATCAGAAAAAAAGGGTTATTTCTATTTGGGGATAAAAGGATAAATATTATGGCTGTAATATGGACTTCAGTTTCTGGCCAAGAGGGAGTAACAGGGACTGGGTTTATCCTCCTGGTTGAAATAGCTAAAACACTAGAAAAAATATATGAAATGATGGTTTCCAAGTTACTCGACATCAGGCAGTGAAGGACAGTGATCCCTGAGAGATGGAAAACAAATGAGGTGGGTTTGTCCCAGCTTATTGCCTTGAGAGAGGCCACAGTGCAGGGAGGGGAGACACAAGCGAGAACTCTCTGAGCTGAGGAGGCAGAGTGTTCTGGGAGAACAAAGCAGCTAGAGTTTGCAGGAGAGATTACCAGAAAACAGAGAACTGCAGAGAGAGAGAAAACAGAGAACTGCAGAGAGAGAGGGAACTCTAGAGATCTGCAGAATGTGCCCCTTGAGAATTTGGCAGATCAGTGTATAATCCGTGTATGAATATGAGGAAGCTACTCAAAGCTGGGGAAAGAACCACCTGAAAGGATTAGAGGGAATAGTACCTGGATACACATAGGGCCAGGAATAGTACCTGTTCCTACCAACCAAACTGGAAAAGCTCAAAGTTCACAGGACACTGAGTAGAGAACTCAGAAGAGTCTTGCATTAGCTAAACCCAGCCCTGGTCCCCCCATCAAGCATGAAAAGCAAGATGCAAAAGCATCAGACTGCTTCCAGGTAACTTACTGTATCCACTCAAGGAAGCTTCAAGTGCAAAAAACATGAAGAAAACTGTACCAAGATACATCATATTCAAATTACTCAAAAGTAGAGATAAAATGTTAGCAGCCGCCACACACACATCACACGTTACGTTACATTTACAAGAACGATCTGACAGCAGATTTCTCGT